AACAATTTGCTGGAATGATTTCCATTTCACACAAGGCATAAAAAAGTGAACTACAGCCATTTCTGCTCCTGTTTCCATCTGAATTGTCCAACATGTACACATACACAGAGAGAGACCCCTAATTCAGCAGGGCTCTTCAGTGGAACGGTCTCCCCCAGAAGGTGATGGGCTCTCCTTCCTTGTAGGTTTCAAAGCAGAGGTTGGGTGGCCATCTGTCATGGATGCTTTAGCTGAGATTCCTGCATCCTCCTTCCAACTCTGTGATTCTGTGAAGCATCAGGCTGCCCACTGCAGCCTTTGAGCCCCGGATTTCCTGCAGGTGATTAGAGATATCCCGGTATTGGGCTTGTATATCCACAGACCTTTGTTGTTGTTGTTTAGTCGTTTATTCGTGTCCGACTCTTCGTGACGCCATGGACCAGAGCACGCCAGGCACTCCTGTCTTCCACTGCCTCCCGCAGTTTGGTCAAACTCATGCTGGTAGCTTCGAGAACACTGTCCAACCATCTCGTCCTCTGTCGTCCCCTTCTCCTTGTGCCCTCCATCTTTCCCAACATCAGGGTCTTTTCCAGGGAGTCTTCTCTTCTCATGAGGTGGCCAAAGTATTGGAGCCTCAGCTTCAGGATCTGTCCTTCCAGTGAGCACTCAGAGCTGATTTCCTTCAGAATGGAGAGGTTTGATCTTCTTGCGGTCCGTGGGACTCTCAAGAGTCTCCTCCAGCACCATAATTCAAAAGCATCAATTCTTTGGCGATCAGCCTTCTTGATGGTCCAGCTCTCGCTTCCATACATCACTACGGGGGAAACCATAGCTTTAACTATACGGACCTTTGTCGGCAAGACCTTTACCTGCCTTTTAAGTACCTCATCAGCTTGGCAACCATTCTTCTAAACTTCCTACAAGATTGATAAAAGCAGTTGCCTCCTGTTTTGCTACAATTAATTCACTTGATCTCCCAGATAAATATAGATGATTGTCTCTGGCATTCTTGACCAGTCCGCCTGCTGAAAAATCTATTTGCACAGAATCTCTCTTCTTCTCCCTCGGGATGCAGTTAAATGATTTATGGGTTATTCATTATGTTATCCATCGCACAAAAGGTTGCCTTTGTTAGGTAAAAGCATTCAAGTTTAGAACACAATTGTTTGAAATGCAGCCCATTTTTATAGAAAGTTTAGGAAGCTTCAGCAGAGAAGCATCACAAAACGTCTGTGCCCAACATTCTTTAAAAGCTTTTTCTTTATTTGTTCACTTCGGCACAATACGTGTCTCTCCAATAGGCAGTTCAAGCCTGCCACGGTTACATTTTGTTATAGGCCAGTACACCCACTGTGCTATCTATGATTCGCTTCCAAAAATTATCTAAAAATAACTGTACCTGTATGACAGTTTTCCAAATGAATCAATGTAGATGGCTCATCTTGGGAGATGGCTGTTTTCAAAATCTTGCATCTTATTCCTCTAAAAATCCACAAAATATTTTCCCATGTAAGTAACACGTTGACATTTGTTTTATTGCACTTGGTGATATAAATATATCCGGAAAACGTGAGTAGAGCCGCCTAATTCAAGCTGGTTCTGAAAAGGCGTGAAAAGTAAAATTAGGTTTTCGGGATATATATTTTTGTCCTGCTCAACTTCTGAATGCTGTGTGATGCAGAAGATTCACAACCTGGAAGGATCTTCCAGCAGTTTCTGAAGCTCAAGGTAGCATTTTCCCCTTTCTCTTGTTTTATTTTAAATTGTAAATCCCATTTAATTTTCATTTTCAATTCCTCCCTCTCCTTTGTATCTGTTACCCTGTGGAATGGGTGCAGAACTGCTGGTCCTTGGGAAAGTGCAGCCCTCTAGGTCTTTCTTGTATCTTTGTGTATCTTTGGTACCTACCCAGGTCAGGCCACTTGGCTGAAATGTGTTCTTGAAGTATAAGAAGGGATTTCTTGTCCCTGGATGGAGATCTGCATGTCTGTAGAAACCTCTGGCTTTTGTGTGGCTGGAAGGCAACCTCCTGTACAAAGTCACATCCCTTGTTGTGCCTTCTTGTGCCTCTGGCCCCACCCCACGTGGCCCCTGGAAGGTTGCGTCTCTCAGGCTGGAAAAAGGCCTCTTTTCCTCTGCTGCAGGGGGAAACGCACAGGTACATTCACATGCAGGTACTTCAAACTATGCAACACTTACCACACACCTCCTTTGTCATGTCTAGTTTGGCCCTAGCCCTTCTTCCTTCTTCTCTTCTTTGGCGATCACTCGTAGCTGAGTAAGATTGTCTTCCATAAGCACGGTTTTAACAATGAGTCCGTAAGTGACTGTGGAGGCCAATTCTGGATCTACACATCCTTCCACAGTGCATAGCTGTCAACTTACAGATTTGAAAATAAGGGACCAGCAGCCTTGAAAATAAGGGACCTGCAGCCTCACCTGTTCCAGGCACTCCAGTCTTCCTGTCCTCCTGCAGTCTGATCAAACTCATGCTGGTAGCTTCGAGAACACTGTCCAACCAACTTTGTAACCAGAGGTTCAACTGAATAGAATCTGAATCACATGCACCACAAGGCCTATGCAGCCTCAACTTAAGATGGCTCCCCAGCCTGGCTTTGCACTGCAAAGTTTGCAGCAGCATGTGCAACAAAATGGCGTCCAGCATTCAAAAACCCCTCAGCTTGCATTAACTAGCCACACACAAGGCATTCAAGCTCCACCCCCCAGTCGTTCTTAGACTTCTTATTGGGTGAGCAACACAGCCAAGCAACACAGTTGGAGCCTCCCTCCTCCCTGGCCAGCAGAGAGGGAGGGAGAGGAGCTGCTTCCTTTGAAATTTAAGGGACATCATTTAAGGGACATCCATCAATAAGGGATAGCAGCGGGACATGGCGCTGGAATAAGGGACTGTCCCTTCAAATAAGGGACACTTGACAGCTATGCCACAGTGGGGACATTGGTTTCCGGGCAGGAGCTCATCACGGTGTGGATTTGCCAAGCGTGCCTTCCTCTTAGCACGTTTCTCCCTTGCATCCTGAGTTCGAGTGTCTTCAAAGCCCATGACACCTTTGGTAAAGGCTGTTCTCCAACTGAAGCACTCGCAGGCCAGTGTTTCCCAATTGTTGGTGTTTATACTACATTTTTTTAGATTTGCCTTGAGACAGTCTTTCAACCTCTTTTGTTGACCACCAGCATTACACTTTCCATTTTTAAGTTTGGAATAGAGTAGTTGCTTTGGAAGACGATCATCAGGCATCCGCACAACATGACCAGTCCAACGAAGTTGATGTTGAAGAATCATTGCTTCAACACTGGCGATCTTTGCTTCTTCCAGTACACTGATATTAGTTCGTCTGTCTTCCCAAGTGATGTGTAAGATTTTTCAGAGACACCGTTGGTGGAATCTTTCAAGGAGTTGGAGATGGCGTTTATAGCCCTTATTATTAAGCTGCCTAAGCAGTCAAAATGCCCATCATTATGATGGCCACAGTATGTGCAGAAGTGTGGCTTGGGTGTTCCAAACACCCTTGAATGGCAGCCTTGACCTTGATTTTACATGGGAGACAGCGGTAGGGTGCAAGGACACTGGTTCCCAGTGTTTCCATCTATTGAGATTTGAGGCTGTTCGTATCTGCACTGCCCTGCCCTGCATTCTATCTGCTGGCCACACTGATATATTTTTTAACAACAGGTGTGTTTTGTCCTTTAAATCTCTACAGGAGAGGCTAGGGTGGATCAGATGAACACAACATACAGTAGAATAGAACCTTTCCACCATTTGCAATAGTGTGTGTGATAGAGAGAAGAGGCTGGGGTAGGGTTGCCATACATAGCTGGTATTCAGCCATCTTAAACAGCATCCGGACGGAGATTGCTGAAATTCAGACATGCCAGAAGTGTAGATTTTTGTGAATTTCTTTAAAAAATAATTTAAAATCTCTCTTTTTTTTAATTTGAGAAAAAAGCTCAACAACTTTGCCAAAACCTGCTCAACAACTTTTGCCCGGATTTTCACTTTTCTAAATATGGCAACCCTAGGTTGGGCTATTATCTCTGGCATGAGAATAGGGATGCTACCGACATACTCCCTTCCCGCCAAACTATTTGCCAGTGAAATGTTGGAAAGTACTGCAGTCTCTATGCTACAGTGGGGGCCGGGGCGGTCAATGGATCCGGAAGCACTAAGCTGATTCATACCCTGGGTCCATCCCACACGCATCTAAGATCCATATCTGCACTCACACAGACACACAGGACCCAGAGAAAGACTATTTAGACATTCTGCACGTACAAACCAGCACACAGCTATATTGCTGCCTTGTTCGGTTTATTTGCTGCCACGGCGTCATCAAGTGCTGCTCTCAGCTATGCCGCGCACAGGGTAGACATGCTACCTTGTACGCCACAGCGATTTATGAGAAGCACTGACCAGGAGCAGGCTGTGAGTTCTAAGCCATCAGAATTAATTTGAAGCTTAATAAAACTCCACACCTGAAGGAGCTTTAATATTAAGTGGCTCATTGCAACCACAAGCACCGGGTCTCACTGTTCGCTCAAAAGCGCCGGCACATTTTTTTTGGTGGGCCTAGATGTTTTGTGGCATATTAAGGGACGTCTAATCCATCAAAGGCTAATTAACTGAGTCCTTGGAAAGGTGCTGTAATGTAATAGGGGCATTAGTTATGTGCAGCATGCCGGCTCTCAACCGGAGGGAGTCTACCCGATAAGGTTAGCAAACACTTTTCTTACTTTATGTAGACTGTCCCAAGACAAATGTAAGTGAAGGAAGCACTTTTTCATTTAATGTGCAAGCTGACACAGGGAACCAATTTATATCAGAATGCAGCTTGATCTTTAGAAATAAAATGAAATAAACAGAGAAAGTTGTTATATCAGCCACTGTTACTCATTACAAAGCTAATCTTCAGGTGAGGTAGAAGTGACCTGCCTGGTTACTGGCAATTTGGGGGCTATGGGACGCTGATCTTGGACATTTTCTTCTGTCCCTGTTTTTATTTCAGCATTTGGGAGTCCGCTGCAGTTGTCTTCCAACCACAAAGGGCTCCTTTACCTGCCCGTATCCCCCAAACTGACAAATACCTGCCTGGAAGATGAAATGAGAGTGAGGACCTTTCTAGCAGACGGTCAGTTTTTTTTAAGCAGTTTTCACCCATTTGCTATGCAAAGTCCAGAGGCCTTCCCCTCCATGTTGTGCTTCTGTCACAGGGATGCATAACCATGAAAGTCCCACGCAGCGCACGCATACTCCTTTTACACACTGCAGCTGCTGTAAGTATATCCCTGGGGGGCAGAGAGAGCCATAGCTTTGTGTCAGAGCCAATGCCTCGACCACAGAAGTCCACAGGTTCAATTCCCCCCCCCCAATCTCTAAGTAGGGATGGGAAAGACCTGGGGCGTCCCTAGGGGTTGGGTAGGTTGGCTCCCTCCAAGGCCGCAGACCCAGGTGTGTGTGTGCAAAAATCAAGAAAGTCTTCACCTGCTGGCAGAAGGACAGCAAGGAGGGAGCCAGTCTGGCTTCTCTAAAGAGGGAGTTCCAAAGTTGTCTGAGAGGAGCCACCACCGAGAAGGCCCTCACTCCCACCAAGTGTGCCTGTGAGGGTGGCAGTGTTAGATTCTGTTTCTCACTGTGCAGCTGCTTGCAGTCACAGGACTGTGTTTACATTCCAGGGATTCCAGGCTGTTGGAGTCTCACGGGAAAGGGAGATGGGATGTGACGTTACTGGTTTCCTGTTTCCTTTGTTCCTTTGTTCGGTTGCTCTCTGCTCTCATGGAGAGAAGATGTATATTTCTTTGCTCTCTGCATAGCTTAGTAATAAAGCATGGCGTGTAGCTCATACCTATCTCATCCTTCCGTTGTGTTGTTTTGATGCTCTGCTGGGAGGAAGATGAGCCTTATCAGCTTGGAAGAACGGAGCTGCCAATAGGCAGGACCCGAGGGAAGGGCCTCTCCCAAAGATCTCAGAACCCAAGCAGGTTCCTATGAGGGAATACGGTGTTTCAGTTAGCTTGGACCCAAGCCCTGCAGGGCTTTGTAGGTGATAACAAGCACTTTGAATTGTGCCCGGAAACAGCCAGCAGAACTGTTGTAGCAAGGAAGTTGTTTCCTGGCATGTAGGACACCTGAATGAGTCCTTTCTGAATACACTCTCTTGCACGATGTAACGTAATCTGCAAGTATTTGGTTCTGCAAGTATTCGGTTCTTTCCTTGCAACTCTCTGAGTTCAGCAAAGCCAAACAGGACCTGTTATCTTGATACACCTGTATAGGACATTTCATAGAAACCCTAACAGTTGTATGCTCCCTATAACCAGCCCTGGTCTGCAATCTGGCTGCAGTTCTTTGAGCCGGGTGAAGTTTCTGAGCGCTTTTCAAAGGCAGCCCTGCGTAGAACATGTTACAGTAATCCAAATGGGGTATAACTAAGGCATGTGTCACTAGGCAAATCTCAAGGAATGGGTGTAGCCAGCGCAGCAGCTTTAACAAATGGTTGCAAATTTTGCCCGTTGTAGTCTGTCTCACAGAACCTTTGAGAACTAAGTTGGAACCAAACAGCAGGAGCTGTGGACTGTCGACATGAAAAGACTGTTTCCTGCAGGCTTTCTGCAAGCACATGTCTAGCCGCTGCTGGAAACTGGATGAGGGTCCCTTGGTCTATTTCTCCATGGCTCTTTTAGTGCAACATTCCAGAGAGCTTGCTGGAAAGAAAGCTTTCCGTTTTATCACCGCCTAGTGAAAGATCAAAAGGAGGGGCGAATCATTTTTGATTCTTAGGCCTGCTGTTAATGCAAGCTATGGGCCATTTATAAAATCAAACGGCCATTCTAGTCAGTATGCTTTCCCCCCAGCTGAATTTAATAGATGCAGTTTTTCACAACATGCAGTAATGCAGTTTGAATGAAGTAAATATTCTGGTTGGCTGGAGATAGATTTCTGCAAAGGGCAGGTAGCTTAATGCCAGTCACTCATGTTCAATAGCTGGATTGATGTGCTCTTTTGAATCGCCACCCAGGTTTACCTTCAGCAAAGGGATTAAATCCACCCCCTCCACATTTTCAGTGGTATGAAAGAGGTTTTTTTAAAACACATAACCTTCCAGGAATCAACTAAAAACTCAGAAGTGTGGTTATTATCACATGGAATAATTGGAGCTCATGGGGTTTTGGACCCTCACGGCGCAATCCTAAACATCCTAAACCTAATTCAGCCTCTCTGAATTCAACAAGGCAGTGACAGTGAGCCCATGGCTCTCCCAGTGTTGGTTCCAGCTCCCATCAGCCTTGACCATTGACCATGCTGGCGGAATCCGATGGAAGCTGGAATCCAACAATATCTGGAGGGCAGCAAGTTTCTCAGCCTTGCAATAGGGCTTACTCCCTTTTAAGTGGGTGTAGGATTGCAGGCATGGGACGTGGGTGGCGCTGTGGATTAAACCACAGAGCCTAGGACTTGCCGATCAGAAGGTCGGTGGTTCGAATCCCCGCGACAGGGTGAGCTCCCGTTGCTCGGTCCCTGCTCCTGCCAACCTAGCAGTTCGAAAGCACGTCAAAGTGCAAGTAGATAAATAGGTACCACTCCGGCAGGAAGGTAAACGGCGTTTCCGTGTGCTGCTCTGGTTCGCCAGAAGCAGCTTAGTCATGCTGGCCACATGACCCGGAAGCTATACACCGGCTTCCTCGGCCAATAAAGTGAGATGAGCGCCGGGGGGGGGGGAGAGAGAGATTAAATTCCTTAGAGATTAAATTCCTTGCACAATTCCCCATCTTCAGGCAGTTGTTTAAAGCTAACGTGATCCTTGAATAGCAGTGCAGCCCCAAACCTGTACACCCAGGAAGGACCTCTGGTTTCAATGGGATTTACTTTATCCCCATGTGTAGCATGTGTGGGAATTGCAGCACAAACCTAGCTGTGCAGGAAAAATCCAATTTTTCAAAGCAAAATAGTCTCTGTAGGTCTAAACTAAGAGAGAGAAGTAATATTTCTCCTCTAAGAGTTTGTCTAACCTTTTAGGGCTAAACTAGACATGGTATGGATGATCAGTAATCTGATCTCCCAATGTGTTCTTATTTGCCTGTGCATCCATGGGGTGAAGACTGAATCACAGCCTTGAAGGTGCGAGAAGGGGTTTAACTCATCATTTATCCAATGGAAATCTCCCCACAAAGTTGCTATAGGTCACGACGCAGAAAACAAACAGATACCTGAATTGCCAATTGCCTGAGCACTGAGCCTAAGAGGCAGAGTATTGTGCTATTTAATTATTATTGTATGGTGCTGTTTTTTACAAAAGAAGGAATGGAATACATTTCAATCACAGCTCTCACTTTGAGGGTTTTATTTGTTTCTGGGGTGTATCACTAGAGACAGCATGTGCAGAGGGTGGGGTATCAATGATGAAATGTTCCCGCATAGCAAATAAAGATCCCTGCAGACAGAAGGCTAGTGTCTCAGGGAGAAGGGATATAACCTAGCAATTACATTTGCAGTTGCCCAAATGCACTTTCATTGAACATACCCAGGGAATGTCATCATGATTCATTCATTGCTTCAAGAATACTTCCCTTTTGCAATCTATTAATGTTCAGGGGATAACATTCCCAGCAAAAAAACAGAGAAAAGAATCAATTTGCTGTGACCAAGAGAAAGAGCTGCCAAAGTATAACTCCTGAAGGCAAAACCCCTGGATGTGTGAATGTTATACATTTCATCTTCTGCAACAATTAGGCTAACCAACAATGGGGCAGCAACATCAAGAAAAGCTGCCTGGAAGCATTATGCTGTCAGTACATCAAATTTTCTAGGAATCCAGGGACAACTTCCAGCTGTTTATTAAGCACTGCTGTGAGATTATTCATTTCAGAACAACAAGAGTTTGAGTGTCTGCTTGATTCACTGTGGTGGGAGTTCTGGAAGACATCAATCTGTAATTTCCCCCCACTTCCAGTATCAAATAGATTTTCACTAGCTGTTAATGAATATGGCGTTAGTTAATGAAAGCATCGCTTGCCATGTCAACTAGGGCTGGGCGATGCCTGGTTTTCAACAGCGTGATACATCACCAGCTAAACATTGCTATCTACTGATATATAACAATGTCTGAGATAAGGATGGAGCTATCTAGAGGCATTGACTGGCTTCACGGTTTTCCCTGTATCATGATTTTTGCCTGTGCCTGTTCTGATTTGTTGCCCAGATTGGTGGGGTAGAAATAATAAATAATTTAAAATTTAAAATAAAATAAAATAAAATGGCAGAGTTAACAGGGGCTGAAGGAATCGAGAGAAGCATTATCTAGCTTCACGGTGTTTCCCACACTGTGATTTTTGCATAGCACACACACACACATACATCATGATTTGCTATATATTGTCAGGTCAAAAAATATGAAACCGATATCACAATATGGATTTCAAACCGGTTTTGGACGATAAATCACCCAGCCCTAATGCCAACATCAGTGTAAGCGCCTCCTGCTATATGTGTGCCTTATGAAAAGGAATAACTCCACTCATAATTTCATGTGCCCTAAAGGTGTAGTCAACAGCCCCTATTCAACCACCTTAGAAGTTCTCCATCATACTTGCAACATGCCTCGTTGTGTTTTGAGCAATATGTCAGCTACTAATGCAGTCGACTGGACATAACCATTTTATCTAAGGAGTGGAGGGGCAAATAGTTATGCTTCCAGCCCAGGCAATGATTTCAGCATCCAATTTGCGGAACCGAATTCTTCATGCATATATATATATATATAGTACCAGCTGAGTGGGAAATCTGGACTTCTTCCCACTGATTCGGTGCGGTATGAGAACAGTCTACTAACATCATACATCAGGAAGAACTTTCTGACAGTAAGAGCTGTTTGACAGGGGAACGGTCTCCCCTGGGAGGTGGCGAGGTTTTTAAGCAGAGCTTGAGTGGCCGTCTGCCATGAATGCTTTAGTTGAGATTCCTCAGTTGCAATTCACCCTCGAGGTCGCTTTCACTATGCATTCTTTCCCGAAAATGGCCACAACAGATGCATGATGTAAAAGGCAAGAACAATGGGTTCCAGGGACATTTAGGATGCAACCACGTAGCCAGAAGATACCTAACACCCTGGTCCAACTGATGTTGGAGCACTAAATTTGGTAGGGCTAAAGGGAAAGGGGATGTCAGAGAGGTTCAGGTGCATGCCAAGGAAGGACCAGGAGTCAACTTGGACCCAAAAGGTCCCTGGACACACATACACACATCCATACTGGAGAGGAATTTAGGCCTGCTCCTGAGAATATGAAAATCTTGTCCTGTCCATTGTCCTTTTTTCAAATTGGTTCCATTGGAACCAATGTCCTGCAAAAGGACAGAGGAACACAAGAGGGGTCCTTCTTCCTGCTCTCAATTCCACTCTTGAACAGGGCAATTGAACCATTTTCAGTTTCTACTCCACGCACCACAGGGCTGCAGCCTTACATTGTGCTGATGTGCGTGTTTACTTGGAAGTATGTCTGGTTGTATCCATTGCTTCCAGAAAATACGTGCAAGGGATATCTTGCTGTTGAACTCTCTTATTGCTCCAAGGGAGTTCAAATTTCCCAACAAATTCCTAGAGCATGTGTTTCCTTAAAGGAAGCCACTCAACATCTACAGTAGGGAAACAATACAGTGGTACCTCTAGTTGTGGACACGATCCGTTCCAGGATGCCGTGCGCACCCCAAAAATTCTGCAATTAGAGCGGCGCTTCTGCACAAGCACGGAGCGCGATAGAGCGCTTCTGCGCATGTGCAAAGCGCGCAGAGCGCTTCTGCGCATGCGCAAAGTGTGCAGAACTCTTCTGCGCATGTGCACATGATGAAACCCGGACGTATACACTTCTGGGTTTGCCACGTTCGCAACCTGAAAATCTGCAACATGGAGCAAACGCAACAAGAGGTATGACTGTATTCTGATTACGTCTGGTCTCCTCCGTTATACTCCAGAGTTGCACAGTATGTATTTATATAAAAACAACGCCCTATTCAAGTAAGCCCAAGTGGAATTAAGAAGCTGCTTTATTAATTTGTTCACTAATTCAATTTTTATCCCACCCTTTCCCCCCAAGGAGCCCTCTTCCCATTTGGCTGGCATCAAATTGTGGTTGGTCTAATGATAGGACAGATTGTTACAACAGATCATCATGTCTCAGCAGCTTTGACTGCTCTCTTTTTCCCCATCTTGGCATTGGCTTGAATGTGACACACACTACCATGAATTCAGTTTATTTATTATTATTATTATTATTTTAAAGTCCATTTGTCCTAGAAAGTGGTGTCATGTGACTTGATCCTAGGTTTCAGCCTACTACTTTTTGTGTGTTTTGAAAACATAACTTATCAAAGCAAGTACTAGAGGTTGTCTGATTCCTTACATTTGCAGCAGGAATTCTGTGGTTTATCACTGTGAGAGTGCATGGAACTTAATGGTTCTTTGTGGGTGAATAACTGGGCGCTCCATTTCCCTCTCTCTCTCTTTTTTGCCTCCTTTAGTGGCTGCATCAACAGCAAATTCCACAGCTGGGGCGGCCATGAATTCCTTGACTTCTCTGGGGACTCTCCAAGGACTGGCGGGAGCCACTGTTGGATTGAATAATATTAATGCACTAGCAGGTACCGTAAACAGTGAGTATTTATTGCTGTGGTGGACACTCCAGCAATTTCCCTGTAATCACCGTAGGAACACTTGACCATTTATAATACAGTGAATGTTACTATGAAAAATACATGTGCAAAATACATGGGGTGAAATCGACAAAGTTCTGTTCTGGGTCTCCGCAGTGACTTGGCCTGAACGGGTCTTGCCTCGTTGAAGGACCGTGACACCATTGCTAACATTTCCTCACAACATTGTGTTTCTCTTGCAGGGTGTGAACATAGTTAGGTTTGTGCTTGGGCGGCTAGCGTTGATTCTCAAGGCCAATTGTCTTCAGGTTCTGAAGAGCCAGATGCCATTTCCATTTGAAAGAGAACAGAATAGCAGAGAGGCTCCTGTTGCTGCTCCTATTGCCAGTAGTAGCTGCTGCTTGTAGCAGCAGCAGCAGCACACAATTACGGTGGGCTGTTGCTAAGCCCAAGAGGTGTAGAGAGTGCCCCCGTTAATAGTGGTAGTTTCATTTCTGGCTTCCAGAAGACAGTTGCATAAGGCATTGCATATTACCTGAAGCAGCCCAAGAGGCGGTCTGATGTGGGCAAAGCTCGGTTGGGTCAGAACTGGCAAATTTCGTGTGCAACTCATTTTAAGCAGACTCCTCCACCATCCCTAGCCATTATCTAGGGAAGCAGCCCTGCACATGCTTTTGTTTGCTGGCAATAGGAGTGCTATCTGTGCATGCATTGGCACTCAGCTTATCTCATGAATGGGGGACATGTGGTCCTCCCAACTCCATCACCCCAGACCATTGGGTGTGTTAGCTGGGGCTGATAGGAATCCAATAATATCTGAAGGGCCCCCACTTCCCCAGCCCTGGTCTATATGATCCCCAGTACCGATGTCCATGTGGACTACAATCCCAGTGCCTCTAAGGATGTAGGCTTGAGCTTAGTAAGTCATACTCAGAGTATGCCCATTGAAATCCATTGACAAGTAAGTCATAGAATCGTAGAACTGGAAGGGGCCCTGAGGGTCATCTAGTTCAACCTCCTGCAATGCAGGAATCTCAATGAGGTCATCCCATGACAGATGGCCACCCAACCTCTGCTTGAAAACCTCCAAGGAAGGAGGGACCACCACTTCTCATGGGAGTCTGTTCAACTGTTGAACAGCTCTTACCATGAGAAAGTTATTTCTGAAGTTTAGCCAGAATCTCCTTTTCTTGTATTAATTAGATCACTGATTAAAAGAACAGAGTTGTGTATTTGGATAGCTCAGTTGGTTAGAGCACAGTTCTGATAACGTCAAGGTTGCAGGTTCAATCTCCCTATGAGACGGATGCATATTCCTGCATTGAAGAGGGTTGGACTAGATCAGCCTTTCTCAATCTGTGCGTCCCCAGATGTTGTTGAACTACAACTCCCATCACCCCTAGCTAGCAAGGCCAGAGCTCGGGGATGATGGGAGTTGTAGTCCAGCAACATCTGGGGACCCACAGGTTGAGAACCGCTGGGATAGATGATCCTCAGCATCCCTCCCAACTCTACAATTCTATGATTTATCGGTGTCAGATCAGTCTCACACATTACTGTAAGCTAAATACCACAGCCTTGCACACTTTACCACTAACACTGAAATATAGAAGCCAGAGTTGTTCTCTTGTTTGTGCTGGGCAAGTTAACAGCCGTTCTCCCATTATCAAGGAAACAGGGTGCCCAGTTTCAGATATGGGGTGTAGTACAGGGTCCTTGACTTATCTGAAAACCCTAATCCAGATGTCCCTAACCTGGTGTCCTTCAGATGCTTTTGGCTACAGCTTGGGATAATGTGAGCTGTAGACCAAAACATCTGTGTGGGAACACTGAGTTACGGGAGGCTGCCCCCTTCCGTAATCTGCTGCCCTGTCAGTGTCCAGCTTCCTCTCGTGACTAGGCACCGTACAGCAAAGAATTGGTATTTCCTTGGAAATGCATTCCAAGGGCTTAGCGGCGCTAGTTCATTGCAGCATCTTCGCGAAATCTGTTTCTAGGGTCTTAAGAGATTAGCTGGTTTACTCGGCGTGAGGTTTCGTAGGAAGGAGTCTATTTTGGAGATAGGCAGCTGACGGCCTTGGCATTCGGCGCAGCCTCCTGAGCCCCATCAGACCTCGTGTAGCCCTCCCTTTCTCTCGTTCGCAAGCCAAGGCACGGGCAAACGCAGGAGAGAACAAGTGAGGTGTGTAACTGGCAGAGCCTCTTTGGCTTCTCATACTAGGAAAGAGCAGTTAAGGAATCTCAGCTGCTCGGCTGGCACGGGAGTCTGACTACAAAGAGTGTAGTTGGCGCTGCGGGCCAACAGAATACCTGTTAAGAATTATTTGATGATCAGTAGTCGCCTGTTCGATCAGAATCACAAAGTGGACTAATAGGTAGTATATATAGATGTGAAGAGGTCTGCGTTTCTTAAAAAGAGAAATGCCTCTTACTTGTATTCATTGCTGTCAGTGATTTTTGTTGTACTTATGTTTAACAAATGTCTGAGTCTCGTGTTTTCTTTCCCGTAATTGGGGCATATTTTGTGTTCCTGTTATCTTTCTGTTCTTACCTTGCTTACTTGGTTTTTCTCCCTTCTCAGGGAGCTCAGTCCACACACACACACACACACACACACACACACACACCTACCAACCTCTGGGTCTGCTTTGTGCTTCTGATGTAGGGTGTTGCCTGTGAAAAGCTTTGCCAACTGGTTAGAATCGGTTTATACCACCCACACAAGTGTGTTCGCAGATGCAAAAGGGCATGAGAAGCACATCCAGTGTGTTCAAAGTGCAGCATGCCTCCCTACAGGATCCACCCAACGTGTCTGCCTCTTTTTGATGACTGGAGATAATACTTGTGGGTGGACGTGGGCACATAGGGATCGGTTCACACATAACTTTCCATGTGTGGCAGAAGGCATGTGTACCCGAGGCTCTCTTCCAGCCGTGTGTACTGGAAGGTGAGCAACCCCTCAGGGGTGTTAAAAATGAAATCGTCATTCTTAAAAATGATAAAGCATTCTTGAAACTGTGTGAGATAGGCTCAGGGCTCAGCTAAAGGTTAATTGTGAGCACACATGATGCAAACCCTGATGCTTGCCTTGGTTGCAGTAAAGTCCCAAGGGTGGAGCGTTCCCTGCCGGTGCCCAGGGAGGGGGCACGTGTGCTAGGGCGAGGTGATGTTCCCTTCTTGGTTCCTTATGTGGGGGCAGGATCAGGCATAGAAGCATGCCTGTTTTGTATCGTCTAAAAAGCCCCTTCCACAGAGACACTTCTAGGTCAGCTGGCAAGCAGAACGTTTCTCATAAATCCGCCTTTGAAGCCAATCACAAAGGTTTCAACTACAAAGAAGTGGCCCTGTACAGTTTGGTTGCAGGTTTGCTGTTTGCTTTTACTCAGAGACAGGGGTCAGGGGTTATTAGTTTGGCTGCCTTTCCTACTTCCTTCATAATTTCCAGCTGCTGCTGCTGCTACTCACTGCATTTCCTCCTGCAATGCCAGGATATATTTGGCCATCACCAGTTTTTAGTCTATCACGGTGTACCCAGAGGAATGGATGTCCTCCTCAGTATAAGTTGCTTGCTTCAGTTCTCGGCATGATGCTCTTCTTGTCCTTGCTGTCAAATTTCTCACTTGTCCTTTTTGTGTGTAGGCGTGTGTGTGCGTGCGTGTGTCTCGTAAATCTCTTGTCATTGTGAGGTTTTGGGAGAAGGGGTTGTGCTGAAAACAGAAAGGGCTACTTGGTGCCCAAATGAAAGTAATTGTGTGAGGCTGCATGGGTCCTTGTGCAGCAGGGGTCTTGCTTCTCACAAAGGCTCAATGGATTTTTCTCTTTAGCCCAAGATACTGATAATGTCCAAGCATAATATAACTATGCATAAGAGAAGTTATTCTGAAAAATCAAGTGTTTCTGAGTGCCAAAGTTGTCTGTTGCTTTTCCCCCCCAAATGATATTTATTAAAAGTTTAACAATTACAAATAAGAGGGGGGGGGAGAGACAATAAAAAGTTACAATACATCAAAAAAAAAAGCAGAATAAAAAACAATACAGCACAACAATTAAAAAGAAAGAAAAAGGGAAAAAACATTTAAAAACAGAAACATTTAAAAACACATCCAATATTTCCATGTCTTTATCTTTCATTTACTTGTTTCATCGACCTCCTCACACCTCCCTTTTTTGTATTCTAATTCAATTTAACTATTTCAGCAAATCCTTTCCATCTTTCTCAATTTTTGTTCTATAAATTACCTTAACCCAATCTGACCTTAAAGTTTACACTTTAGCCCATTAACAATCCATTTTTACTTAATTCTTTATAACATTTCTGCTAAAACCATGTAACTTCATTCCAGCATCCTTCCAACATTCATTAATTTTGCTATATTTTTGTAAATATACTTTAAATTTTTTCCAATCTTCTTCCACCGACTCTTCTCCCTGGTCTCGGATTCTGCCAGTCATTTCCGCCAGTTCCATGTAGTCCATCAGCTTCATCTGCCAGCCTGTTACTTTTTTTTTACGCCTCTGCCACTGTTATACAGCCAATTTTCACAGCCCTCCATCGAGCAGCAGCAAACACCACTGTTGACATTGCAGTGTCTTTTCCAGCAAGTTTTGTTTAACTGCCCACCTGGCATCAGGGAAGCTCAGATACACACCCCATTATTTTGCACTGAACCAGTGCCAACGTGCTAGCACAAATGCAGCTTGGAACACAAGGCAGAGTGTATAACAAAACAACTACAACAACAACTTATTATTTATACCTCACCCATCTGGCTGGGTTCCCCCAGCCACTCTGGGCAGCTTCCAACAAAATATTAAAATACAGTAGTCTGTTAAACATTAAAAGCTTCCCTAAACAGGGCTGCCTTCAGATGCCTTCCATAAGCTGAGGCCAAAGTTCTATGAGACAGTGCTCACCTGTATGGAGGACCTTTGTGGGTGTCAGTGGCAGCCATTTTGTGCTGGTACCCACGGCACTTTTACAATAAATGTTTTTCACCAGGAAGAAAACCGCTGGGTCAATTATGTCTTTATGAGGACCAACATGTTTCGTATGGTAATTTGAGGAATAAATGGCATAGAAAGGTAAAGGTAAAGGTACCCCTGCCCGTACGGGCCAGTCGTGACCGACTCTAGGGTTTCGCGCCCATCTCGCTTAAGAGGCCGGGGGCCAGTGCTGTCCGGAGACACTTCCGGGTCACGTGGCCAGCGTGACGAAGCTGCTCTGGCGAGCCAGCACCAGCGCAGCACACGGAAATGCTGTTTACCTTCCCGCTATAAAGCGGTACCTATTTATCTACTTGCACTTAAGGGTGCTTTCAAACTGCTAGGTGGGCAGGAGCTGGGACCGAACGACGGGAGCTCACCCCGCCGCGGGGATTCGAACCACTGACCATACGATCAGCAAGTCCTAGGCACTGAGGTTTTACCCACAGCGCCACCCGCGTCCCTTAATGGCATAGAAAGGACCTGCCTATTTCAATGCCATTCTATTCTACCATTGTGGGATATCTGTGACTTGTACATAAAACATGAAGGCATTTTAAATGCTATCTGGGTGCGCTGGTTGAGATGGAATCAGAATTCCATTCGGAACACGAGATTTCTCCCCAGTAAGAGTTTCGATACCTTTCAGTGTTCTGTGACAGGGAGGAGTTCGTGTCTTCCCTGCCCCATAGGATGTGATTTCCCTCTCTCTCCATCCCCATCTTCCTTTATCCCAGCTGGATGTGTGGGGGCGAGCCAATGAATGTTGAGGAGAGACCTCCCAACAAGAGGTTAGGGAACAGTAAGGCTTTAACGAACAAGGTCAAAACTTCCCTTTAGGGAGATGCATGCAAACATTTGGGGGGAAACGCAGTGTTTGCTGTAGATCTGGCATTGCTGCTGGAGCCAGGACCACCGCTGGGTGTTTCTGTGTGCGCACACAGGTGACTTCTGCGTACCACACACCTGCTGTGCATCCATCTGCACTGAAGTCTGGCTCACACATTGGATATTGGAGCAGGCAAGACTGTCAAAATGTCGTGTTGTTCCCATATGAAGAAGAGAAAAAAATAGTCCCACCTCCCACTCACTATCTCTCTGGAAAGCATAAAATAACCCAGCAGATTGTATCTCACAATTACTGTGCTTATTCCCTAAGTTGAAGCTTCTCATTTCTGCTCCCCCCCCCTTCTAATTAACTACTGTTAGGTGTGTGCATGCATCTGTTGTTCCTTCTTCTTCTTCTTCTTCTTCTTCTTCCGGGAATTTGAATAGTTCCCCCTCCCAAGGCAGTGGGCATAAAATATGTCCTCCTTTGCTATACTTGGTCTCTCTTGCTTGTGTTATGTGTTGGTGGTGTCAGATAACGGCGGCGTTTCTTTTTTGCACCCCTCCGCCCTTCCTGCAACCCCACAAGTTAGAAGTGCAAGACACCTCCTTGAAGAAAAGCTGTGGAATGTCACAACTCTCTGCCAAGTGTTAGCACTGCCTGGATGAAACTCATTTCAAAAAGTATTATTTTTGCACTAGGACCCTCTTAATTGGCACAAACCATGGTGGGAACAGAAAGGAGGCTTGTAGGGTGAAGTTATGCTGATTATCAAATGCTCACAGGGGGTAGAATTGTCCTAGAATCCACATAGTTTTAAAAGCCGAGGGAGTATTGGGTTAGCATCTTCCTCTTCTTCTTTCCACCAGGCTCACTCCCGGGGGCTTGTCATCAACTGCCAATCCTGTCTTAAATTAGTTCTGCAACCGATCTCTTGACACTTTTTTTTTTTACAGCGAGAAAGAACCATTTCACAGCCTTGCAGAAGGTGTTGATTTTCCCCCCAAGGCATTTCCTTTGCTTCGCATGCTACCGGTTCCTCACTCTGAATATTTCTGGGGAATTTGTAAGATTCAGAGACCTATGACACTGCCTCGCACCAAGCCCATCCATTGATTTACTTATCTTTTTATCGTCTCCTACTCCAACTGACGGCAGCAGCCCAGGAGTCCAGGGCATACTGAGGCATCTATGTATTTATTTTAAAATAGGGTGTGTGTTTTTTAACCCATTCTTCAGCTGCCCCAAAGGGGAGTCGCTTCCCAGACAGCTTCCAGATAGTGGTAATAAGACAGTCAGTGATCTCAACCTCATATACTACAAAAGACTCAACGCAGAAAAATAAGGCGGGGGGAGCAAACTCAGGTGCTGGTTATCAGCTACGGGGTTCTTATAACGACCAGCTGGAATGGAAAAGTTCAAAAAGATAAGGCGCTAAAAGTTGCTGGTCTCTCGGCTGAACCTGATGGAGACGCTCTGCATTGTCATCTCTTCCTTGGCTGCTTTCTCAGCCCTAGCACGAATCCTTTTCAATGGGATATTTATTTATTTATCCATCCATCCATTCAAGAATTTATACCTTTTTGGAAAGCCACTTCACCACAAAGCAGCTTATTCCTTCCATTCTTAGTCTCCCAGCCATCTGGTCTGTTCAAAGCCCTGCTCAGAGAATGAAACTGATTGTGGCAAATTCACAAACATGGAGGGCTGAAATCACCTTCCACCCTCTAGACTCCACCCTCTGTGTGTTCGCCGGCGCTTTTGCACAGAGTGTGAGCATGTGCACTTGCACACATGTGTGCAGGCTGCACGGAAGAAGCCAATGAACACGTTGCGACAACAGTCTCAGGCAGAGGTCTTTCTCGACACCTGCTCCTTGAGATTTGGGTAGTTTTAACTGGAACAGCTTTCAGAGGCTGAACCTTCTGCGTGTAAAGCATGTACCCTACCGCTGAGTCGTGATCCCATCGCAGGATGGACAACCGGGAAAAGGGACTCCTTCACAGCCAACTGGTATGAATGCCAAGCAGGACCAGTTTCAGTTCAAGCAGAAGTGGTGCTCAGAATGTAGTTTTTCCACCGGGCTACAGCTCCCACCATCCCTGGCCATTGGCCACACTGGCTAAGGCTGATGGGAGTTGGAAAGATCAAAAGTTCTCCATCCCTGGTCTGGGTTGTACCACTTCATGCTGATGGTGGGAGCCGAAGTCTTTCTCCATACAAAATAATAAATTGACGCAGAAATTCAGGCTGTGATGAAGAGAACTACAGTTTACCATGCTCTTTGCCCATCACACGAGGTGCCCGGGCAGATAAATTGCCTCCTCAGAAAGAATATAGCCGTAGCAGAGCCATCCTGATGACCCCAAAACGTGCCAGCGACAGCTTGTATGTGAAAACTGAGTTGGTAGCCGAAGTCATTTCCCTATCAAAGTCTCGTGTTTGCACATTTGGGGGAAATGGGGGCGGGAGGGGGGATTGTTGTTGCTGTTTCTGCTGCTGTTCTCTCTGTGCCATCTGGTGAATTTGTCTGGATTTTTATTTTGCATGCATGGCCATTGTCATCGGTGTCATATTAATGCCAATGACGTTTGGGAAGCACTAATGAATAAGTGCAATTTCTTTTCTCTATTGTTGGGTTTTTTGTAAAGTTGCTCAAATGCTCTCAGGTATGGCCGCCCTGAACGGAGGACTCGGTGCGACAGGCTTGACGAATGGTACAGCTGGCACAATGGATGCCCTCACCCAAGCCTACTCAGGGATTCAGCAGTATGCCGCGGCGGCACTGCCGACATTGTACAGTCAGAGCTTGTTACAACAACAAAGTGCTGCGGGCAGCCAGAAGGAAGGTAAGCATGTTTGGTCAATGGGGAATGAGAAACAAAGGAAAGCAAAGAGAAGATGGTTGTCCCAATGTGAGCCTCAACACAACTGGCATGTGGTCCCTTCCCTAAATTTACGTTATTATCTTCACTATTTGCTAAGCAGTCACATGTTCCATCCTTCCACTCCAATCGCAGCACTAGGGGCAACTTAAAATTAAGCACAATTGACCAAAAAAAAAAGTACATTGCAAGATGTGTGTACTAGGTTTCTTTTGAAAGTTATGAATCAGATTAATCATTGTATTTGGCCTCTCTTTCGTTTTGCTTACTTTCATTTTGAAAGGTTGGTTTTTTTATTATCCTTATCTCAAAGAGGCCCAGACATCGAGGATTCACCTTGGAAATGAGGGTTACTCAGGCTTTGTATACATTCCTACTCACTCTGCATCCAGGGTACTCTCACCACTGATTTATGAAACTATGTGCACATAACATTATCCACAATCCACATCTATCCTGCAGTTTTTTGAGAATGATGTGTTCCCTGCCCCCCCCCGTACACTTTGAAATGATACACTGACTTGCAAATTTTATTTGAAACGGGTAGGTTTTAAGGCAAGTAACTTGTACACAGCCCATTACCCCACTAAACCTGACTCTTCCAGAACTTCCGTTTAGGACAGTGGGAGTGAATTCAGGCTTCCCAACTTCAATTCCAAACTCACAGTTTTTAGTAAGGCAATGATGGTATAAGAACTGAAGTTTAGTTTTACCTCTATATGTGTGCATGTAAATAAACATCCTGCACAAAGAGTATATAGGGGGCCTGTAAACATTTAATTTCCCAGTCTCCAAATTTTCTCTCAATGGCATTTGCTTCATAAATTTTGCCATCCTTTGTTGAAGTGCGAAAACACACATGGCTGCTTTTGCCAAACAGCCATTTTGATAAAGGGCATTCTGAAATGCACTTTGTTTTTTAAACACACACTTGTGTGCGAAGGGAGCTCCTCTGCCTGGGTTCCATGTATACTGCAAACGCGTGGCTTTTGTAACTAGACCGCGTTTGGAGGTTAATGACAAGATCTATCGCCGTTACATTGAAGGGCTCCTTATTTAATTGAGGGTCTTGAGGGAAAGCAAACAAATGATTGATTGCTTCGTACTCAGTGCAAAATAAACCCCAGTAAGTTAACACTGAGAATAAATTAATACTAATTATAAGATGCTTAATGGAACAAGGCTTCTGTCTCACACTCTCTGCCCTCCTCACTCCCCTCATCCATCCCTCTTCTGTCTCCCTGATCTCCAAGGCAAAGGGGGGGGGTACTATGTTATTTTATTGGAGGGGATCCCCACACACTCTCATTTCTTCCTCTCTCTCTCTCTCTCTCTTTGGCCATTTTTAAAAAAATTATTTTCCAAATTGTTACCAAATTGATTCAATAGAATACGATTTCCAAAACTGGTTTCCCGCTCTCCTTTCAAGATATGTCCAAGATAAAGCTCCCATTGCTGTTTTAGTTCTCAAGTCATCTCTCGTTAACATCACTCCAGAATTACCAATAATATTTCTTGCTAATTCTAAACTGGAAGGGAAAAGTGTGTACCAGGAAGCAGCATCCTCGTTTTGACTGTCATAAAAAGCAATGGGGTCAGGGCAGTTCCAGAGCAGGAAAAAGGGTTTTCTTGCAGGCATCAGTACCCCAAATTAGATATATTTGCCATGGTTTTGTTGTTTTTGTAAACTCATCTTGTACATAATCATTGGAGGCAATTTTTCCATATCATTTCCTAATCTGAATGGTTCCTGCATGGAGTGTCCAGACAACGCCTAGTTGAATATTAACATTAGGCACGCACCTTTGCTATACTGTTCTAGATCCCTGTTGGAAACCTTTTCATTCCAAGAAGCCTACTCAAGACACGTGATTTAGTTATATAGAGTTGTTTTTAAAACTGATTTTATTGATGCATGATCGATAATCGATTTAGATGCACTGCTTAAGAGATTTTACTAAGCAGCTTATATTCTTTCCCCAAAAAATAAATGAACGAATGAATGAAAGGTATGGTAGTTAATTACTATTATCATTGACCAAAGGGCAGATGTTATGAAAAGAAGCTTTTTTCCCCTAGTAAACATGCAAATAAATGGGGGTTCAGAGGAGCACTTGCACAAAGAGATGGCCCATCTGCATGAACAAATCCCACCCCCAGGAAAGTTTGCCAATTCACTACTCATACTGCAGCTTCCTTCAACATATTCCATGTTATTCTAGGTGGTCCACCCATCCTTCGATAATGGCTTCTTTAAAAGGATATGGGAGCCCTCAGAGAGAGGGAGGAGGAGGCAGAAAAGCCATACTGCTGCTCTCAATCCAACCCCATTAGAGATGGAGGAATCTATCAGTTTTCTTTCATTTCCTCCTTTCCCAGTTTTAAAATTTACTTCTCCACATTTCTGCACCCATTTGCATTTTTTTTAAAACCCAGGATCCTTATGTAAATTCATCAGCATCTTAGTATGCAGTTTTCTCCAAATTTCTACAAAGCAATGTCATGCATTTTTGTATACATTTTCACTAATGCGCACATTTTTATGCACACTTTGCCCTAGCATGTACAATTTTGTGTACGTTATCTGGCCAAGAAACTGTGCTGCAAAATTAGGAGAAGTGCAAATATTAGAGGGTGGCGTTGTTGTTTTTTGTTGTTTCAGAAAATGTGAATTTGGTAGGCGCTCCTATAAGTGCAAACTTATTTCTCCCCATTCCTAAACCTAGTAAATGCATTTTCTTGTGGCCGAGTTCACTTCTAGACAATCTGTTTATTGAGCATTCATCCCGATTTGTTTGCATAAAGTTTACAGGGAGGTTAGATGACATCGGCTATTTATTGAGTATTCGTTCTGATTTGTTTGCAGGAACATTATATGACAGTGAGCCCAGCAATTATTATTTCACAATTTCCAGTGCTTCCCCCCGTTACTTTGCTTATTACAAAAAGTCTATCTGGCAGGGAGTGGATTTGTTGCACAAGATACGAAATCAACCATAACTACACAACGTAAATTTGGTGGTATGCGATTGAAACCCACCCGAAATAACAGCAACCCTTAAATATAAAAGCTCTCCTTAGCCTTTGGGAAGTTAGTAAGAAATGTTGCAAGTATTGCTACTTTGTTTTCTAGAAAACTGAAGTAGCGTTCAAGTTAAAGTCAAACTTATTTTTAGTGTGGTTTGTTGCATCTTCCTGTACACATGTCTGTTTCAGAAGCCTGAAATGGAAACGTCCAGATCTTCAGTGAACATTCTCAATACAAAACAAAAGCAGCTGTTCTCTGATGGTTTCCTCTTTTCTTAAAGGTCCAGAAGGAGCAAACCTCTTCATTTATCACCTCCCACAGGAGTTTGGAGACCAGGACATTCTGCAAATGTTCATGCCTTTTGGAAATGTCATTTCTGCTAAAGTCTTCATTGACAAACAGACCAATCTGAGCAAGTGCTTTGGTATGTAACGTTCGACACACAAAGACAATAGAGACGCACAGGATCTGTCTCCTTTTTACTCAGCATCCCATGTGCTGGCCCCTCGTGTTCAGAGTGATGTGGATATAATATGCTGTTTTCACAATGCATATCTAAATTGTTGCATTGTTGCATTATTGCCTATCTCCTTCCAACTCGACAGTTCCAGGATTCTGTCCTGTAACTGAGCATCTTGTTTCCCATTCAGAACAACAGGTATTCCTCAACACATTATAAATCACAACAAAAGCATTGCTGTCCCTCACATGTGCATGGTTTAAATGTGCAATAGCTTGCACATCCAAACACAAATCTCTCTCTCTCTGCCTCTCGGCAGATCTGATTATCTTCATCTCAGTTCTGCTGCTTGTTTGAGATACTTCTCCCCAATAACCAATATTTGCATTCTTGGCTTTTCACTTCAGGAAAAAAAAAACCACAGATCTTTACGGCTGCCCCTGCAAGGCAGCCAAACCAAAGGCACCCTTCATAGCCTAGGGTTCAAGGGTGCTTCAAGATGGGTGTTTCTGATGGAATGGATGGTGCCCACGCATGCACATTTTTCATTGAATCCACATGACATGGCCGGGCATCAATATGCCAGTATGTATTTCTCAACCCCGCCATATAATCTAAATTTACTTGCACCGCTTGAATGGCCCACGTGCCATGGAAGCACCAACAGATGTGAATGGAGATCGCACACGAGTTTGCCATCTTGCACCAACCTCATTCATTTCTATACGTCTCATGAGAGAGGTGCTCCTATGGTTTGTGCACAATGAAAGGAGGATGGATGGAGAAATATTTCCCCTTCCACAGAAACTGGCATTAACTTTCAAAGGTGCAGTTGAATCATATTTTTATTTCTACGGACTCTTAAAAAATCTATTCTGACATGCGCAACAAAAAAGTGTGAGGCACATAAAAGTAATTACATCCTATGCGGGGGAATGCCATTTATTATACGATCAGACTGTCTTATTATAGACGCCTAATTATTATCTTATTGTATAAGAAAACTCTTCACGTTGTACTCATTACTTGCAAATTATATTTAAGTCCTTTCTTCTGGATTTAGAAAACTACACAATTATTTTTATTTGTGTGTGTGTTGGCAACATCCCCCTACATCGGACATACAATATATAGCAAATGGTAACATTCTAATTTTAAAGATGCACAGCAATTCCATACTCTCCAACATTTTTCAGATGAAACTAGAGACACCCTATTCTACACCAGGAAACTTCTCCTGCGTTTGATCTCACCGCACACATAGATGTCCTATGCACATCTACATTGGTCGCCTTGAGCCAATTGCGGCCTCTCTGCCTAACTTACAGGATTGAGGAATCAAAACCAGAAACCATCGGGGTGGCTTCTGTAATTCTGGGACTGCCCCTGGGAAATTGGGACACTAGGAGGGTATGCAGTTCTTTCCACTCCCCACTTCTCTGGGCAGTATGAAGTAGGTCTAGGGAGACCCTTTTAGAAAGCAGGTTTCCTTGAGAGGAGGGTTTCCTACAGGAACCTACTGTTCTTTTTGTAATAAACAACTCTCTGCATGGGTTACTGACATGAAGGGGCTGTCAGGAGTTCAGCCTACACTCGAGTAGGACCCTGGTAGAGACACATGCCCGACTGGCATGTTCTCTCCCTCCTGGTCGATCGTTCAAGAGCTTCATAAGCTTTCTTCAGCCCGTACATCACAGTGACCGATGCCTACAGACACACTTAAGGATCCGCAGAGTTTGCGCATCATGCACGTGACAGAACCCCAGCAACTCAGCATATTGGCTAATCTACTTTATTTACTTATAAACACACATGGAGCACTGCAGCATGGCTCCCTCTCTCTCTAGCATCAGACAGCAAAGAGGAAAAGAACAAAGAACACTTCACGGAACACAGTAACACAAACATCCTGTCTCCATCACTTCCCACTCTGTGGAGTCAAAACATACACCATCATGTGATAGACAACAATCCCATGACTGCAATCACGGAGCAGGAATTCTAACAGGGGCAACATGATTGGAATGGGACTGCGGGGCCAGACTTTTAGACACACACCCTCCCCATCTGTTGCCACACATCTCTATCTGATTGCTCTCATGCTATTTCTGAAGTGGGAACCTCCTGAGTGACTTAGATCCCCACCCTGATCTTCTAGGTTTCTAAACCACACAGGCAGCCTCCCCAAGTAATGATACTTCATGAAATACTTTGTCAAATGTATGTGAACTAGGATACAGGCTACCGTACTAGAAAGATAATATTGTAGGTACATCAGGAAAAGGTCCATTGTTACAGAAGACCCATAACTTTAAGACACAGCATTTTAGAATCGCTGTGGAAAAAATATCAATGCAATATTCACACTTAAATGTATGCTGCCTCAGTGTAACTCAGTACTGTATTGGGCATATGACTAGCAGAAGGTTAACAAATTTCCTTAAATTATCTTAGGATCCAAGCCCAGTTTCTGGTGTTTACCCATCCTCCCAGAAGTGCCCAATGGCCAGTTCCATATTGTTCATGGGGAGCCTCTCTGACTCTCCAAATAAGTTTCTTCGGGACAAAGGACGTAGGAGGAGAAACCAAGCAGCTTCTGTGGACTTCCTTAAGTTAACAGATTCAAACCAAGCACCAAAGTTATAGGCATCAGAAGGTGGGCTGAGTTTCCATCGTAATCAAAACAAAATGAAACGAATGAAAAACGAACGAAACAGTAACCAATCAAAAAGGAGATGAATGGGGCTGCCCAAATTGAAATGCAACCATAAATATATACAACGAATACCCCTATTCCCTATACAGTAAAAGCACTTTACAGCAGTTGTTGTCGTTGCTTTTTGCTGACGCTTATGCCTTTTTCTCCCCAACCCATTTTGTGTATTGCAGGTTTTGTTAGCTATGACAATCCTGTCTCTGCACAAGCTGCTATACAGGCTATGAACGGCTTTCAGATTGGGATGAAACGCTTGAAAGTTCAGCTGAAGCGCTCCAAAAACGACAGCAAACCTTACTGATCATTACCCCAGAAGCTTACTGCTATTAATTTAGATTTCTTAGGGTAAGTCCCTTGAGCAAAACCCATCATCCCCTTGGGGAGGTTGAGAAAGAACATAAGAACACATTGCCAACCACCGCCAAGAGACAGCTGTGTGTTTTTTTTCACAATACTTGCTTCCATTGTCCCCACCTGCTATAAGGGAAACTTGGCTAACCTAACTGAACGGTATTACTTTATTTGAATTTGAAACTTGACTTGAAAAAGAAAAAAGGAAAAAAAACCGACCTGACAAGGATAACACACATAAACACACACCCTCCAAAATCTTAAAAAGAATCAAAATTTTCGAGAGAACAAATGTTGCAGCTTAACTTTCTCAGCCTGGGTGTCCTTAATACTTTTGGATGGGGATAATGAAAGCAGGCAAACGTCTGAACCTAGACTTATCCAAATGGCACCAGCAGTTAATAGGCTACTATCAATGGCCCTGTGCCGGGAGAGGAACTCACTTAGAAACAACACCAATTATTTCCATTTACTTCAGTTCGATTTTTATTAAAGGGGCTTGACTATTTTTCGTTCTTAAAAGAGTTTCAGATTGACGTGATGTTATATTATCCTGTTTAAAACACTGGTCATCTTTATATATTTCACTTGCGGTTTTTCTTTCTTTCTTTCTTTCTTTCTTTTCTTCTTTCTTCTTTTTTTTAAAGTCCTTAGGGGATTTGTTTTTTAGAGTTTTAGTGTAAAAAAAAAAAAGACTTAGAGATCCGTTTCTAAAGCTACAGGGTTTAAAATAAATAAATAAAAAGAGTGACAATACTTGATGTTTCTTGAAAGATAAAAAAAATTTAATAATAATAATAGATAACAAAAGAAAGCCACAGGCCTGTAAATTTTATTTGTAAAAAGCATTTCTATTTTTATACAAAAATTTTTACTGCCTCAGAAATAATGGAAGTTATTTATTGCCTATTGTTAACTTATTGGATACCTAAAGAGCAGCTCTCTCTGCTAGCTAGATCCTTTTGAAGTAGTCTCTGGAGTATCTGTGCCAACAATGGGTGCTTTTTCACCGTTGAATTCTACATCCTACATGCTTTTTTATCCCCCTGTTTGTATTTCGTCTGGTTAACCTGTTCGTAGTTTCCATTATCTAGTTTAAAGTTTAGTTGTCTTGGACGATTCTCCTCTCTCTCTCTCTCTCCTCTCCCCAACCCGCTCCAACACAGCACCCCCCTTACGTTGCATTTGTTGAAACTGGTTCTTTATTCTTTCCCCCTCCCCCCAAATAAAACAGGAATCCATCTTCTCTAACTCCTTTTCAGATGGATTCCTTTTGGGGGGTCCTTCATTGTGCCGTCGTTGTTGGCCAAGTGTACAGTTAATGCAAACTGCGTGAATGGCTGATATTCTGATGATGCAAGATTTGCATTAGTTTTCTCCTGCACCCATTTTAAAAAAAATGATTTTGTTTCTGCTGCATAGACTCTCCGTAACTTTTTTTCCTCTTCCTTGTTTTTCCCTAGACATCTTCATGCTCGTTAGCTCATCGTTTGCCTAGCATGTCCCTGTGGCGTCTATAAAAAAAAAAAAAAGTTTCATCGTCCCGTCATTGTTTCTGATGTCTTTCTGACCTCACATCATAATTTGGTTCTCCTACTGACCTTTGATCTATAGTTTGAACCTTTGAAATTTGCATGTGACCTCATCTAGCTATACGAATTCTGGGAAGTCAATGTGAAAAGCATTGCTGCATTTATGCAAGATCAAAATTTATTACTAGTCAAATTAATAATAGGATTATTTAAATTTTAAAAAAAAGACACACACACAACCTGTGGCAAAATGTTTTGTTAGGGTTTTTTAGTTGTTCTTTTTTTCCTTTTTTTCCCTTTTCTTTTTGTGTTCAAATAAAAAAAAAAACCAGACTTGAAAGTATTATACAGAGATTGGCATTCTGGCTGGTCATTGATGACAATAGCAATATGTGTCCAGAGACAGAATGTTGGTTTCTAACAGACTACTTCCAAAACAGTTTGAAATGAAGAACTGTCTGATTTTAAGTCTCTAGAGGTCTGTAATAGTTTTTACATTTTTCAGGCAGTGTAAAGTTTTTTGATAAGGCCATTTTAGGTGGCTCACTTTCTCATTAAGAATATATATATAGAACCACTTTTTGTAGATTAGTATAACAAAAAAAAATTTACCCTGTTTTAGGGCAAATGCTACCTATTTCCGTCACCTTTTGCTGAACTGACTCACAAGTTAGACAATCCATGAATTAATGCACATGAAAATTACCTATATTTTATACTGTTTCAATGTACAGGAGAAAGGCTACTGTTAGCTGTTGTTCCATTGGTGCTTCTGTGAATTAAGTTGTGGTTTCATCATGGGTCTTATGGTCTTTAAGTGTTCTGTGTTTATAAGCAACAGGTTTGAAATTGGTTTTTACTTGAACAATATCAACAACAGAACAAAAAAAATGAATTTCAAAAAACGGAAAAAGTTGTTTGCTTAAAATTTAAAAAAAAAAAGTTTTCATGTGGAAAATAAAACTATTCCAGACTAAGTTTGTGTTGGCTTCTGTGACGCATTGGTGTCATATTTTTTTAAAAATTATTATTGTGGACAATTTAGATGTGTTTGTGTTCAGCAAAATGTGATCAGTTTTTTTTTCTTTTAAAGAAATAATAATAAAAAAAAGAAATCAGTGAAAAAATCTTCAGTGCCAAATTCCAAAGGTACTTTTCTTCCTAGAGCTTCAGTGTGTTTCTTGTGTGAAGTAATTTGATAACATGGGTATTTTACTATGTGTTTTGTATGAATCCCTAATATTTAAAGGAAAAAGAGGTTAAAAAGTTTGTTAACTTGCTATCCTGTGGTCTTGTTGCCTGAAGTTGTTGTTGTTTGTTATTTCTCTTGGATGTTTTTTGTAAAACATTGTATAAGTGCCCATGTTTCACTTTTCTAACCACTCTGCACATCAACGCTGTGAAAGCAAACCTCACAATGTAATTTCTTCATAATGTATGGAAACCTCTAAGGTGAGAAAGTTTTGAACTTTTAACCCTTTCCACCCAGAGCTGTCTTGAGTGTTAATACTTTTATACATTCACCATTTTGCTGTTTATTTTTATATATACATATATATATATATATCTATAGCTATAAATATATATATACTTACTTTTTGTGGTTTATTTAATACATGGTTGAAATCAGAAAAATGCACAGGGCAGACCTGAAGGACAAAATAATAATAATAATAATAATATTTTACTGCTGTCTAAATTTCTTCTGTATCTATAACTAAAAAGAAAATATTTAAAAATAGTAACTGTAGATCTCCTTTTTAGGCCTTTGGGGTTTTTTTGTCTTTTCTTAAAAGAGCTTTTAATATGCTGCTGGAATATGCTACTCAGTATTAATAAAATAAAATAAAATAAATTCTTTAATTATGTATTGTATGACCACTCCTAGGTAGGAGAGGTAAACCCACCATTTGAAATCATTAAGGGGGGAAAATATTTTTGTAATGAAATAAACTTTTGCTTAAATCCAATGCACTAGAACTTCCTGGATGAATCTTCATTGTGCACTGCAGATTAAAAAAACTACTTTCATGGATGAGGTTTACACATGTCGTAATGCTTTGATGTGTTATCTGCCTGAATTGTCCGCCATATATTGATGCAGATTTAATGGATGCAAAGTAGGTGGGGCAATATAATTTGCTGACCTGATTTCTGTTGATAATGGAGCGTGCAAACTTTTGAATTGCTGCAAAACTCTTTGAAAGCTAGAAGGGAAAAATCTTGCTGTCGCTCAGCTAATCTTGGGAACAAACCAGGCACACGAACCACCCACTTTCGTGGGCTCAGATGTTTCCACAGCAAACAAGCTGTTTGCACTCTTAGTGCAGGTAGCCTGGACTGGATCGGGTCCGTTAGATCTATGTATTGGAGGGGTCTGTATCCAGAAAGGCATGACAGAAATAATTGTAATAAACAAGGCACAGGGCATTCCATTCAACCCCTCCACCCAGAATTATGGAAGCCATCCTGGCTTCTGACTGGATCTTGGAATGTCCTGGTTTTTTGGTACGGCATTCTGGCACGAGTTCAGCTGGCTCCCGCAGGAGCTCTGGACCAAAAAAACCGAGCCTTTTGATTTTGAGCAGCGGGATGTTGGAGGGTATGATGGCCACACCTAACCAGCAGGGCAGAAGGAAAAAAGGCTCAGTTATGTACTAATCAGCCAGTGCATATATATTATCCAAGCAAAGCACAACACTTTAAAACAGGGCGTCCCAAGAGGTACGCCGATGCCCCCCTCGTTCCAAAATGCCTTGGGCCACAGACCAAAACAACCCTTGAACCATCTCCAGGTATCCAGCAAGTACTTCTGCCTTGCTCTGAAGTTATTTATTTTTATAACGTGCAAGCACAACTGGGTGGGAGAAAGGTAAGCACTTCGGATTTTCTTTTAACGAGTCTCTCCCCTTCCCACCCAGCATGGCATATCACTTTTTGAACTCAGGGGAGTCGACACGGAAAGTGTCAGAGAGGGGGGGCGGTGGTTCAGAGCAAGGTCAGAAGTTCTGCTAGACAAATGGAAGCCTCCGGGTATGCCTGGACGCTAAGCTTTGTGGGTTGATAATCGGTCAGAGTCGTTGCCCAGGCGTGTCACACTTCGCACTGCAATCGCACGTCACATCTATGTGCTGGTGTTTGCAAATGCGACCGGGAGCTGCCATCAGTTAGGCCTTATCAGTGCACGCACTCCGTAGACGACAGGCTTGCTGCATCCATGCTGGTGTTCCCCACAATGAGCATGCGAAGTGTGAAGAGCAGGCAAACATTCCTGAACATGCAACGGCCATATGGAGAGCAGTTACAGCGAGTCAAAGCTTCCTGGCTTATGTCTTTTACAGTACAGTACAGTACAGTACAGTACAGTACAGGCTTCCTCAACCTCGGCCCTCCAGATGTTTTGAGACCACAATTCCCATCATACCTGACCACTGGTCCTGCTAGCTAGGGATCATGGGAGTTGTAGGCCAAAAACATCTGGAGGGCTGAGGTTGGTCTAGGACTTCCTACCTCCCCTTAACGCGTCACATATTTGATTTAGTGCAGTAGCAAGCACAGGTGGCGCTTTCTCTGTGCATCTCTCTGAAATGAAAGGTTGCATTTGCAATCGGCTTTACTCTCTGCTTGCCTAACTAATCGCCACAACGTTCCATTTTGCTAGGTGGAAGTGTTCTGCGTAACTCAGAAGCTTGCATGCTACATCAACAGAAAGTGGTCCAATGTAAAAGGTATCTTTGCCTTACCTATTTTGTATCCCCTATTCTCTGTCGCGACAATATACGGGCACAGCCCTGCAAACACTCACTATGGAGAAACTGCTTTCATAGAGAGAAGAGAGGGATTCTGTGAATCCTGAGTGTTTGCAGGAAAGAGCCCAGGAAACTGAAGACAGAAGAAAAGATGCTGATAACACCCTTCATGGCTTTTTTTATTTTTACTTTGGATCGGATAACATTCCTACTCCTAAACCAAATTTGGGTCTTCTATTCTGGCAGATCATCCCCTTTCCAGGCCAAAACATGTCAGCAGCCCTATAAGCTACTGATAAAAGTGCCATAATCATTCCCCATTGTCTGTTCCTACTTCAGTCAAACCTTCCCCCATCCCCCAAAACCCCCCTTGTAAAGTATCTTTTAAAAATACAAAATAATGATCACACACCCCTTCTTTGCTTTCAAGTGATTGTTTTATAGAGAAGCCCTGGGATGGAAAGGACTAGAATCCAAGTGATGCAAAAAAAATAAAAAATAAAAAAAGGTTTCTAGCACACGCACTTATAGATAATGTTCTGTGTTATTCTCATATGTTTTTACTACTGCTGGGGCCTTCCTAAACCCTTTGAGGGCTATTTTGTACTTCTTGCAGCAATTTTTGCCTACTGGATTATCACATGTATACCGATCCACAATATAGGATCATCATAATATGTCTTTCCAGGACATTTTTTGGCATTTAAATTTCCCAAATAATTGTGCTTTTCTTTCAAACTCTTCGGATCCCTTTCGTGCAGAAAAACTCAGTGAGGACACTCCCCCCCATTCATTTCAATGGGACTTGCACCAAAGCCCCATACAAGCCCCATTAAAATGGCAGCCATGCACAATGGATTGCACCCAGCTACTGATCCTTTGCCACGCAACCAGCCGGTGCCAAACTCAAAAAACTCTAGATCTCCTTGTCAATTTGCATGTGCCAACTGCAGCAGCTGTTCCCTGCCCCCACTGCTAGCTATTTTTCAAGCAACACTCGTTTGCAATGGGGGGGGGGGGGAATCTGGAACTTAACCAGAAAAGAACTTCCCAGGCCTAGACCAGTTCCGTAGTGACAAAGGCAGAGATCCAAAGAAGGGAGATGTATATGACAGGGAGAGAAGCATCAACAGATCTGGAGCTTTGCTGACTGTTTCCCTTGACATTCCTGTGGCCAAAGAGGTAAGTTGCTATAACGTTTTAAAAAGCAGCTTGCCTAGGGCCGGCCCAGCCATGAGACCAGATGAGGCAACTGCCTCAGACGGCAGACTCCACAGAGACAGCAAGGTCCCAATGTAGATCTTTATTCCCTTGTCCTCGACGTAGATCTTCACTCAGCCCCTTCTTCCCTGGAGGGGAAGCGGTGCCATTCTGTGGTACACTTCAGGCGCTAAAATGTCTTGGGCCAGCCCTGGGTTTGCCTCTTTGACAGGGGAAAACTGCCACAAGGAAAACCAGCCAGTGAAGCTCTTTAACTGTACACGGTATTCACACTTGCACGCGTGCTCCACACACTCCCCCCCCCTCTTTTTTTGCTTTTTCTTATCCCGCATAGGTTATCTGTCACTCCTAAAATATCAAATTCTGGGGGTGGGGGGGGTGGGAAGCTGCAAGAATGCAAACAGCTTTACAGCAGAGGAAGGAAAAATTATTCGAACGAGGGGAATTTGCTTTACAAAAACCAAACTCCAAAAGCACAAAGAAGTAGTTTTCCAACCAAAAGCAACCAATTTCAGCAAAATTGCCATTTTTCAAAGGAGTAACAAGTTCATCTTTCTTTCACCATAGGGGTTATTATTATTCCTTGGCTTGTGCTACTCTCTGGAATCATTTTACTGTTTCTGTTCTTATTAACTTAAGTGCTGATTAACAAACAAAAAGAGTTTTGTTTTTGTTTTTTAAAAAAAAGCTGTAGTTTTCATTATCTTTCTGAATGATGTCATAACAAAACGAAACAAAAAAGTAACCCTGTGTACCGGAGGGTGGGTGGGTGGGTGGGGTGTTGTGCTGTGAGAACATGTTGTTTGTAGATTATGAATAACTCTCTTTTAGTTGAGAATGTCTGGACCTTGTGACACAATCCATTTGCTCTCTGGGTGCAGCGCCCATGTACAGAAGAGTCCCATCGGATCAACAAAGCTCCGTTTCCTCCTCTCCATGGTTTATGCACATCCTCCCATGCGCACTATTGGCCTTCCCTCATTGTCCAGGGGAAGTTACTTGTGCGCAAAGGATGCACATCAAAACCAGGAGGGGATGCGCGTCCAGGGCACACGCCTCGCATCTCCCCAACCATCCTGTCGCGCTGTGTACAAACAGATATTCAAAGAAGGAAACGGGGTTCTGTTGATCCCCATGGGAGCGCTCTGCGCATGGGTGGCGGTGCTGTATCTGTGGCGCAAACGGGCTGTGCCCCTAGGTTTCCTTTTGAAATTTTGTCAGAGAAAAGCCAAAGTTACTGCAAAGTAGTGGGAAACTTGTAAGACCATTTGAGTATTGTTTCTGTTTCGTTGATGAATTTGGATTTTGCTGTTTGATGGAATTTGAGCCAAAAAAAACAAAACACACACACAAACCACAGGCTTTCCTATTTCTAAAACTTGATTGTACTTATGCATTTTGTACCAGTGGAACTTTTTATACTGGAGATTTAAAAAAATAATAATATGGAAATTTTTGTGGCTTACTCTTGTGGGCCTCCAGATCATGGCTGATTTTCAAGTTTGATTTCCAGTTGGTAGAAAGAAAGTTGGTTTTGTTTAAGAGAATTTAAAAAAAAAAAAAAACTTTGGCTTGGTTTAATTCTTTCCCTTTGCTTATATTTAGTGTTTAGAATTTTGTCTTTAAAGCAAGCGGTAAGTTTCACTTTTTATTCTGTATTGTGCTGTTACACAATATAAAGATAAATTAGAATTTAGGAGTACACAGTCACTTTATGTGGATAAATGTATTAGTTAAAAAAAAAGTAGGGGTTTGCTTTTTTGCTGTTTAGATCAAAAGTTTTTTCTGATTCTTCTGTCTTCATTGTGGACATAACCGTGTAGTTGAAACAGTCAAACTTATTTTTGTAACGTATGTTATTGTGTGATGCAGTTTTTTGCTTCTGTCTCCAATATTAAACCATTTTCCTAATACTTGTCTCTCTTTCTCTCTGTGTGTTGTAATGTTGGTGGTCATTCCGTGTTGGTAATACATCTGCACACCTCACTGTTTCACGTCCCTGTTGATTTTTTTTCTTCTATTTGTCGTGTACAAAAGATACAGTCGATTCCACCTAAGTGAACATCTGATTGGAGAGTGAATGCAGATTTGTAGATACCCTTGCTCTATTTTACCTCCCAACTTCTTGCTCTCTCCCCCACCCCCCAATTCCCTGCTTTCAATCATTTTGATAATATAAGATTATTTAATTGCTTGCCTGAAGTCACATTGGAGATGCCTTTTTAGTCATAGTTTTTAGAAAAATCACGTGTTTTATACACAAAAACCAAAAATCCTAAGTAAAGTTTTCCTCTGATTAATGGCTGAAAAGTTACATGTTTCTGTTTTTCAGGAGCATATTAAGTTTACTACCAAAAAGTTGCTTGATGGGAGTAGAATGTGGAAAATATTGGGATTTCTTCCAGAAGTTCTGTGCTCCCTGGCAGCATATGGAATTAGCCCACTGTTTCTCAGAAGTAATAATGTTTTAACTACAGGTAGGAGAGCCTGAGCCAAAACCCCACCAGGTGAACAAGCTTGTTAGAGACATACAGAGGCACGTGAGCTCAGAGAAAGCTAGTGGAAGTCAACAATAAAATAAAGAGCATCGCCATAGGTGCCGAACGGGATTATTTTGATCTTGGCATACATGGTACGCTATGGATAATGAAATGGCACAAATTTCTAAGGAGAAAAGGGATTATTACAATATTTATTGCCCTCCTGGGTGCTAAGGGGCTGGTTGGCCCACAATTGTATTTTCTCTTATTACCAGAGAAAACAAACTACCGCAAAAATAAGCTGCAAGCAGGCTTGTCGCTGGTGCAATCTTGATTCCGCCCAGTGCTCTTATAAATTTTGTCTCCATTTCATCGATACCACTGACCCAGGTGGGATTTCTGTTGTTGTTGCTGTTGTTGTCGTTATCGATTCGACTGATCAGAGATTCAAATTTATCAAGTTGGGGAGGGGTTCTGCAGATAGAGAAAGTTCTACCCCATGCTTTCTGGGATTCAAGCCATACATACATTCCTTTATCCCAAACTCAGGAATTGAAGGCCATTTAAAAGTGCTCTTAGAAGATGGAGTCCAGACTTCCCTTGTGACTTTTATTTTCTGGTCTTGACTTGTGTGAGCCGGTCACGCACAGTCCAAAATGGCAACCTCTTCAGAATAGAAACATTGTTCAATGGAAGCTCTTCTCTCACGGTTCTGGCAACTCCCCCCCCCCATTAACCCCCCAGTTCTGAGGAGCTTGTTCTGCAAGCTTCTATGTCTGTGGGTTTCGAAAGCGGCGCAAATTGTTGGGGGAAGAGCTGTCCTCCTGGGGGGGGGGGCTGTTCCTGCTGCCTTTCACGTGGCTTCACTGTGCCTGCTTCCCACAGCCCCAGCCCCTGGTTCTGTTTTCCAAGTACCTCATCTGTGCAGCTGCATCGTGGGACCATATCCCATGATGCAACAGTGTGCCTGCTACGTCACAAGAAAGTAGACACTCTTGTTAAAAATAAAAAATAGAAACAAGAATGGCTGGGAATGAACTCATCTTCCCAGGTCAGTTTCATGAGCCTTAATTGTGATAAGTGCTGACAATCATTTTATTTCAGTGTAAAAGATGCAAGCATCTTTAGTATTATTAATTATTATTATTATTATTATTATTATTATTCATTTTAAAAAATGAAACGGGGGATGATTGGAATCAATAGGATGCAATGGCCGACACATGGGACATTTAGGTCCACATTCCACCTCTACTACTTGGTGGCCTTTGCCAAGCCATTCATTGTCTCTCAGCTGCACCTTTACATTTGTGAAATGTAAATCATAATCACCTCCATGGGCTAGTTATAGCAATGAGTTAGTTGCCATGGTACAACAACTGCTGAAATCACTTCAACATCTTGCCTGGAACATTCAGATGATGAAGCAGAGGTTGGGGAGGCTCAGGAACCCTTTGAAGAGTCAGGGACTCCTATTATTATTATTATTATTTCTTCAGGCGTTTATAAAGCTCATTGTTTGCCTAATACCATTCAAAGTGGCAAACAGTGTGGGGGGGGTACCTCTCTGTTACCTCAGGAAAGTTGAAAAATGGTAGACCTATTCTTGACTTCCTGTTGGGTCGCCCTACAGAGCTGGTGGTCTATATTGGGCTTGGTGGGTTATGCAAGCCGCAAGGGGCCTGATTCAAAAGCGGCGGGTAGAACCACGCTCCATCTCGCCAAAGTAGCAGCAGTGGGAGGCATTCAGCATCACCTTCCTACCCACCCAATTTATGCCCTCCAAGTACTCCTCTACCCCCCACATTTGCCTCATGGGGAAACCAGCGTCTTGGTAATCCCCACCCCATACACAACACATTGTTCAATCCACAGTCATGAGTGGCAGCTTAGGATCTTCTAACGCTCCCAGTTCCTAGTTCCACTTTGCTAATATCCACAAGGACCCCAAACAACCTAAGATTCCTTTGCTCCTGTAGATAAGCCATTTTGAGATGGCAGCCGCTGTATGTTTGATATTACAGTGTTTCCATATTCCATTAGCCCTTCAAAATTCAGGCTTTAGTGTTACAGGAACGTCTACAAGAACAAAGTGGTTTGTTTTTTCAGAGGGGAAGATGTAAGGGCAGCCCTTCTAGTATTTAGAAGGTATCTGTGTCTCCACCTACAATTCAGGTACGCTTGTGGTTCACATAGGCTGCAATCCATATCCAACTGATGGCAGTGGCAAACCTCTTTGTGGTCTTAACAGCAAAGGGCTGTGCCATTAGCGCGTGTGTGTCTCTCTCTCTCTCACCATAGGAGCTTTATTTCAAAGTCCAAAAGATTTCTGAATACCTCGCTGGAGTGAGTGTTAATGTTTTTTATTTACAAAAAACAACAACAACCCAATTTGGTGGTCCTTAGGTATCAGGCTATGGAAAAAACAGTGTACTGTGTTTCATTCCTGATAAGTGAATAAAGCATTGTGTACAAGCAATCAGGTTATTCACTTATCAGGAATCGACTGTACTGCTGGTTTGGCTGTTTTTGTTCTTCATTCTCTGTTGTGATTTCACAACTTTGCCGTGTCCTGTTTGTTTCCTTTCCCCTCCTTCTCCTATGCTTTTCTTTCGTTCTATCTTTTCCTTCCTACCTGCCTATTCTTACTCCTCCCTATTCCTCTCTTTCTCTTTCTTTCTTTCTTTCTTTCTTTCTTTCTTTCTCTCTCTCTCTCTCTCTCTCTCTCTCTCTCTCTCTCTCTCTCTCATATATGCTCTAGCACAATCACTGGGAAATATCCCTTCTTTTGACCATGAAACATGCTCTCCAAGTGGGGAACAAAAATCTTAACAAAATCTATGCACTTGCTATCAGGAACACAATATTGGATGTGTCTTATATCTATTTAGTGCGTGAGTTCTTAAATAAAACTACTGAAAGGATACTTTTGTCTGTAAAAAAAAATATTGAGGGATTAAAAGCAAAGAGTTTCTAGGGTCTGGATTTTATTTTTGTTAAATCTGAAAAAAGGGGATGCAAAGTTTTAAATTCCTCCATGCCAAATGAAATTTTTTTTTGTATGGTATATTTAATCTATCCATGAAACTTAGAAAAAATGGACTTACAGGGAAGAGGGGAAATGGGAATTCCTTGAGCACAGAGCAAAAATTTCCTGAAAGCCAAGATTGTTATCAAAACATGTTCCTTTTACAATGTAAAGGCTATATTAAGGAGAAAGACTATTTTTCTTACTAAATATGAAGCCATTTTTTGGACACCAGAGAACAGTTTAAAGTGTCTGATGTTTGCCATATACCATAATAAACTTATTCTGTGTCTGAACTTTTGTTTGTGTATTACTATAGATTGCACATGGAAAACGCCTGCTTTGGGGTGTAAACTCTGATCAACAGATTTCTGTAATTTTAGAGAAAGGCAATGGCCTGTACACCTATCCATACTCACAGGGGAAAAGTGAGAAGATGTATCATCACTGATGACAAACAGTATGGAATTGGGGAGAGGGCTTGCCAGAACCCTCTTAATGGCTTGCTCCAGTCCAGACTGCCTCATGGCTGTAAGCTCATCTCATGGATTTTATTTTATTTTTTAAGCCTGGCAAATGAATCAAAAATGAATAGGTTTATAAGCTTATACAGTGGGTGCTCAGGCTGCGAACATGATCTGTGCGGGATGCACATTCGCAACCCTCAGTTGTGCGTCTGCGCACGCACAGGTTGCGATTCGGCGCTTCTGCGCATGCACGACCGCCGAAACCCGGAAGTAACCCGTTCCGGTACTTCCGGGTTTCGGCAGTCCGCAACCCAAAAAAACGCAAGCTGAAGCGTCTGTAACCCGAGGTATGACTGTAAGTCTATAGAATTAAAATGGAACCCTCTTTTTCAAAGCTCCATCTCTTATAAAAATGTCCAAATGCACATGTTAAAGGTAAAGGTAAAGGTACCCCTGCCCGTACGGGCCAGTCTTGACAGACTCTAGGGTTGTGCGCCCATCTCACTCAAGAGGCCGGGGGCCAGCGCTGTCCGGAGACACTTCCGGGTCACGTGGCCAGCGTGACATCGCTGCTCTGGCAAGCCAGAGCCGCACACGGAAACGCCGTTTACCTTCCCGCTAGTAAGCGGTCCCTATTTATCTACTTGCACCCGGGGGTGCTTTCAAACTGCTAGGTTGGCAGGCGCTGGGACCGAGCAGCGGGAGCGCACCCCGCTGTGGGGATTCGAACTGCCGACCTTTTGATCGTCAAGCCCTAGGCGCTGAGGCTTTTACCCACAGCGCCACCCGCGTCCCTTTTAATGCACATGTTACTCATCGCCAATACCTCTTTTCAAGCCAAACCTATTATAGGTTAAAATATATATTGTATATAGCCCAGTGGTATTGCCCTAAACATTTGTGGAAATCTAGAAGGGCCAAACCTTTATCATTATATT